CAAGGAGAGGGGAGGAGGGCCACTGCCTGAGTTTGCATCCCTTCCAGTAACATCAGCCATAACCCCATACCCTCCCCACCACCACCATGGTGACAACAAGCAGCACCAGCATGACAGTCTCCTCCACCCCCATTTCGCTTCCTATGCTGAGCCTTCCAGTGTCAGGAAGAGTTGGAGCTGAGTGCAATAGCAAGGGAAATTCTAGGTAAGGAGGGGGAATCAGCTGAGTTTGTGCTTCATAACCCTCAAGTGTCCTGTAGAGCCGGGTCTCCTTCCCCAGAAGGCACTTCAGGGGAGTTGAGGTAGAGGTTATGGAGGCAATTGAAGGCAAGGAGCTGAGTCTGCTCCTCTTGTTGCTTTGCCTCTACCTGCTGAGGAGGGGGAAAAGGTAGCATCCACACATGCACCCACACCCCAGAAGTGAGGGGTAATGTGGTCTGGGATCATTTTGAGCTGGCAAATGATCCCACATATGCTACCTGCCTGCACTGCCAAGCCAAAACCAGCTGGGGCAAGGAAGCGAAACATATGAGCACCATGGGGATGCTGATGCATCTCTGCAGGCACCACGCCCTTGCCCTTGCTCCTCCTCAGCCTGGCACCAGTGGGAACATGTCCAAAAAGAAGTCCCCCTCTTATTCCAAAGCCCCTGTCCACCTGAAGCAGAGGCAGACCACCCTGGACCAGTGGGGGAAAGGTGGGTACATGGGGGCATATTCCCAAGATGAGCGAGGTCACCCAGAGAGTTGGGGAGACGCTTACTGTGAATGGCCAGCCCTTCTCCTTAGTTGAGTGGCCAGGGATCAGGTGGATCATGGTGCTTGTGGCCCCATCATACCAAGTGCCCACATATACCACCTTCAGCAGGATGGTGGTGCCATCCCTGTATGAGGCATGCAGGGAGTGCTTGAGGGAGGAGCTGCACAAGAGAGGCCCACAGGTGGTCTTACACTTCACCTTGGACATCTAGAGCAGCCGGGGTGGAGATCATGCTGACCTCTCCCTCACAGGGCACTGGTGCAACCAGTCAAGCCATTGGTGGGCTCTCCTTCAAGCCAAGGTGATGGATGAGTCCCACAATGCAACCGAGATCATGGGGGCCATGAATTGCTTGGTGCAGGGGTGGCTAACTGGGCAGGGCAAGCTTACCCACAGGTTCATAGTCACTGACAATGGGGCCAATGTGGTCAAGGTGGTGTGTGATGCCAACCTTGTCGTCTGCTTTATGGCACACAAGTTCCACTTCATTATCAGGGATGCCTTGGAGGGGGATAGGGCTACTGGTGATAGTGCCAGCACCACCAGCAAACTCACTTCCAAATGAAGGAAGGTTTCATAGTTTCATAGTGCTTGGGGTCAGAAGGGACCTAAACAGATCATTGGGTCTGACCCCCTGTCCTGGACAGGAACGAGTGCTGGGGTCATAACACCCCAGCCAAATATCTATCCAGCCTCCTCTTGAACACCCCCAAGGTAGGAGAGAGCACCACCTCCCTTGGGAGTCCATTCCAGAGCCTGGCAGCCCTAACTGTAAAGTAATGCCTCCTAATGTCCAGCCTGAACCTTCTCTCTAACAATTTGTGGCCGTTATTCGTAGTAACCCCTAGTGGTGTCTGAGGGAACAGAGCCTCACCCAATTTCCACTAGTCCCCCCTGGTGAGTTTGTAAATGGCCACCAGATCCCCTCTCAGCCTTCTGTTGCGGAGGCTGAATAGGTTCAGACCCTTTAGCCTCTTCTCGTAGGGCCTGCCCCACTGCCCCTTGACCATGCGAGTGGCCCTCCTCTGGACCCTCTCAATGCTAGCCACATCCCTTTTTGAAGTGTGGCACCCAGACCTGGATCCAGTACTCCAACTGTGGCCTGCCCAATGCCACATAGAGGGGAAGGATCACCTCCTTGGACCTGCTTGTGATGCATCTGTAGATGCATGACAAGGTGCAGTTAGCCTTACTGACTGCTTCCTGGCATTGGTGGCTTATGTTCATCCTGGAGTCAACAATGACTCCAAGATCTCTTTCTGCCACTGTGTTAACAAGAAGGGTGTTCCCCAGCCTATAGGCATATTGCTGGTTCTTTCTCCCTAGATGCAGTACCCTGCACTTGTCTGCATTGGATTCCATCCTATTCCCATCTGCCCACCTCTGTAACCTGTCTAGATCTAGCTGGATTCTGTCCCTCCCCTCCAGCATGCCCACCTTGCCCCACATCAGTGAATTTGGACAGTGTGCTTATCAGTGATCTGGATGTGTGTGTGGAAAAGATGTTGAACAGTACAGGCCCCAGGACCATGCCCTGGGGTACTCCACTGCCCACATCCCTCCAGGTCGAAAGCCACCCGTCCACCACCACTCTCTGGGTGTGATCATCTAGTCAATTTGCCACCCATCTGACTGTGTAGGCATCAATGCCACAGTTGCCTAGGTTTTTTAATAAGAATGGGGTGAGAAACAGTGTCAAAGGCTTTCTTGAAGTCCAGGTAGACAACATCCACCTCAACGCCTGCATCCAAGGACTTGGAGACCTGGTCATGAAAGGAAACCAGGTTAGTCAGGCAGGATCTGCCCTCAGTGAAGCCATGGTGGTTGCCCCTGAGCATTACCTCCCATGCTGGGCCCCTGCAGATGTTCCTTGATAATTTTCTGAAAGGTCTTCCCAAGGACCGAGGTAAGACTGATTGGCCTATAATTTCTGGGGTCCTCGTTTCTTCCCTTCTTGTAAATGGGGACCACATCGGCCCTTTTCCAATCCTCTGGTACCTGGCCAGAGCCCCACGAGTGCTCATAAAGCTGTGCCAGGGGCCCTGCTATGACCCCTGCCAATTCCCTCAGCACCCTCGGGTGAAGAGCATCTGGACTTGCTGATTTAAACATGTCCAGCCCCTCCAAAAGTTCCCTAACTAGGTTGTCCCTGACCCTAGGCATGGCGGTACCTCCCCTGGGTCTGTCTGTAATCCTAGCAGGGGAAATGTCCTGGTCCCTGTCCAGGAATATGGAGGCAAAGAATTAGTTAAAGAGGTCAGCTTTTTCATTTGCTGCATCGCCAGATTGCCAAGCCTATCCTGTAGGGGCCCCACGTTACCCAGTGCCTCCTTCTTACTCCCTATGTATTTGAAAAAGGACTTTTTGTTATCTCTAATTCTGGTTGCAAGC